CCCCCATCTTTCCCTGGCATGGTTAGGAGGCCGCTGCCTCTGCAGGCTGTGCTGCCACAGCTGACAGTCAGTCTAGCTGCCGGCTCCTTTGTGGGCACGGATCCCCCGTCCAGATACTCCCCCTTCCCACGGGCCAACTGCCTACCACTGTGCTAGTGCTCACAGTAGGGCCCCTGTGGGGCCACTTATGGTCCTTCTTACTGTCTACTGGGCAAGCTGACTGTTTTCAACAAAAATATGAGATGGCAGAACTCCTGTTCCTAAATCTGAGTAGAAATTTAACATCATGTCACATAGGATGATCCTAGGGCATGAGTATAGCGTCTCCCATATGAATCACTTTACACCAAGTCCATTTTTGTCCTTGGATCAAAAGCTTAACTGGACAGCTGGCAGCCCTCTCTGTGTGTTGGCAGGGTCCCATCTCAGACTAACAGCTGGAGGATGGAGTAATGTGTGCACAGCTTAGGCCCAGTTTCTCAGTGTTCCCAGAAATGCATAAGCCTGATACAACGTTTGATATGGAGGTATGATTCCAGGGAACCATGAGGTTACGGGGTGTACATCAGAGGAGGGAGGGAGAGGCAGTACAAGGCTGTATTACAGAGTTCGCTATTCCTCCAAGGGTCTGTTTGCTTGTTCTGGGACCATTTGACAAGTGACCTAAAATATAGCTCAGAACTGCCTTCAGAAGAAAGAAAAGAGGAAGCATCTGCCTACAGGCTCCAGTCTCCTATTGGTCAATGGTGGCTCCCCGACATTTCTGGGTGGCACACAGGTGAGTGCTAAGGGGGTTCCTGTGGGCATCTCAGAGGACAGCATCAGAAACTATGGGGCAAGAAATGAGAGGTGCAGAGCCTGTCTGAGGGGTGTTCTCACCCTGGGCTGCCCCCGCATGAAACCTGCAGACCTGCTTGGAAATGGTCACCACAGCCACACGTAGGGGGTGAGAGGTGAGGTTGAGAATATTCAAAGCGATACAGTAGGCATCTGATTTACCTGGTCGTGTAGCATCTGCCTTACCCGATCTTGTACATACTCAACTGACAAGGTGCTCCCTCCTCCCCCTGCCTTGCGCTGGAGATGGAGGGAAGCATGAAAGCTAAAATCCTCAGCATGCTTTTCTGCAAGTTGCTCCAGGCCGTTCACCCTCCCATAGAGGTTTCTTATAATGTCACTTTATCTCCCAGGAGATAGACATGGATGATGGACCCGTTTTCTGAGTGAGTGCAGACCATCTGGAGGGATGAACCGCTTCATCCTCTCTGAGGCTTCTTTACATCTTCTAGGTGGCAAAACATGATTCATCATCAACCACTGATGATGATTCTCATTTTAGCTCCTTGTGTCTTGTCATCAGAGTTAACTCCTTCCAGACTCGCTCAGTGGCTTGGTGGCCAAGGTTCTAGCATTCACTATGTATTTGTAGGTATTTTAGAGGAGAGCAAGGTGAGATGGAGTAAGCTGTGATCATAACCTGAAATGAGGATGGCTTCTTCCCCCTGCCCTGCCCACCCCATAGGGGGATGAATTCACCTTCTATTGAGGCACATAGAGCTGTTAGGGTCCTCATCATTCAAAAGGAGATGTGAGTCCTCTTCCTGGCTCGGCCGGCTCTTAAACCCTGGTTCCAAATTCAACCAGCAACTGAGACAGCTGCTTTGCTCGTTGTTGTCTGGGATAGAAGTCCCCAGCTCGCAGACACTCAGAGAGGACAGCAGTGTGATGCTCAAGCTGTGTAATACCTAAGATTCTGCAAACCTGCACCTTGCAGAGAACCGTGTGTGGGCCCCTTCATTTTGGTCCTCCAGCAAAGAGATTTCACCGAGTTGTTCTGTGGCACGACGCCATCCGCCTCAGGGAGGGAAACGTGTTGCATTCTGCTAAGGATGTTGTTGGAAGCCATTCGTTATTAAGGGGGTCCATGGAAAAAATAATTTCCAGCCCCTGTAGCGGAAATACTTTTATTTATGCTGAGCAACTGGTTCATTTTTCCCTTTTGGACACTGAGTTGACTGCCTGTGTCCTCCTTCTTGGGTAGACGGGCAGTGCCAAGTTTTTGAAGCTGTTGATCCAGGTGTGTGGCAAATCTTTTGGGTATGATTTCAATCTTGGCATCATCTTATCTATCGTGCTTTCACTTTTCTATGTTCTGCTGTCCCCACCTTTTTATAGAATTTGTTTTTCTATGTATGAAAGTAATGTAAATTTTAGAAAATACAGAAAATCAGAGAGAACAAAAATTACCCATGTTCCCTAGGATGAGAGATAATCATTGTTAATAACTGATGTAGTCTTTCATTCATTTATATACTCATTTTCTCTATCTTTGCATCTGTATCTCTCTGTATGTCTCTCTATCCAGCCATATACTCCAGATGTCCTTGAATAGCTAGTTCAACTTCCTTCCAATGCCTAATCCATGGATTGTGAAAACTGAAATCCACCTCAGATTCTGCTGATTTCTGTCAGTTACATTCCTGTGCTCCTCTCTGTCTCCAGATTTTCAGTTTATGGGTGTCATCTCTCTGTGGGTGCCGTATCCCACCTACATGTCATTGAAGATTTCAGGTTCAGTCCCTTTGCTAGAATTCAGGACAAGGCTACTTAGGTCAAATCCTTGTGGAGTCTAGTTGCGTTTCCTAAAGATTAAGTGGTCAGAATTTTTCTAAAATTAACCAAGAGTGGTTTCCTTAACTCTATCTTGCCAGCTTCTTTTGCGTTTCTCCTGGTTCCTTACCCACCCCTGCCCCAAGCCCTGCCAAAGAAAATCAAATCCCCCTTCTTGCCTATTGCATGGCATGTTGGTGACCTCATGCCATGTCCTCAAGGGTCTGAGGGCTTCTATGTCCCGGAATTCTGACCGGAGGCTTGAACCCTTGGAATTAGAGGAAGATCTTAAGCCAAACTGGAGGTCCCCATCAGAGTCCAAGCAGGGTGCTCTGAGATTTGATATGGACCCACACTCCAGGTCTAGCCAGACAGGAGGGCCTGGCCAGGTCTCCAATAGATATGTAAAGAGAATTGTGTCACTCTGGCCCATCTCCAGGGTTGGCACACATGGGGTGGGTGTCCCTCACTGTTAATGGGGGCCCAAAAGCATACTGCCATGGAAATATGACCATGGCATGCATGGTGTTAAGTGAAAAGAAGCCTGTCTCAGAACTTATATATATATATATATAACTTATATATATATATATATATATATATACACACACACATATACATACATACACACACATATATATGCCATTTATATAGAAAATTTATGTATATTTATATATGTATAGAAAGGTCTGCAATAGCAAAAAATATTAACAAGTACCTTTGAAAGTGGTGACTTTACCTCATGCTTCAGAAAACTTTACTTTGAATTCTTTCAAGTGAGTATATGCTGCTTTTATAATAACTCTTTAAAAGGTGTTTCCGTTTTGGGAGGGAAATGATACACCCCAAAGTATTTTTTATTAGGAGATGCATGAGATTTTTCTTCTTCTTTCTAATTTTCTCAATATCAACTATCACATTTGTGGCAAAAGAGTAAACATGGCAGGCAGAATGAGTGAGATTACCACGACCAAGGACAAAGCGACAAGGACTACCAGCTGGCTGGCCACCGGGTTCCCCTCCTAGGACCTGAGTTGGGAAGCGTGCGTTCTCCAGGCTTTTGGCTTGCCAGGGGTGGGTACTACATCTAGGTCTCTTACGTTGGAGAGCACTGCCAGGATTCCTAAGGCTGAACGAGAACAAAGTGAACCAGGGCTCTGGCCCTATGGCTCATGCTTCCAGCTTGTACTTATACCTGGATACGTACAAAGAACTGGGAAGCCAGTCAATTCCAAGGAGTTGGTTCCAGCTGTTTCTTCTGCTTACCTGTAAAGCAGAGAGCATTGCATCATGTGCATCAGAGATTGGCAGCCTCATACCCTAGTTTGGGAACTGGTTTGTCTCCTTGTCCCTTATCTGTCCCCTTCTAAGAGCATTTGGAAGAGTGCTTGCATAACTTCAGCATGCATTACAATCACCTGGGGCACTTGTTAAGCATTCAGGTTCCTGGGACCCATCCTGGACCTACTCAATCAGATTCTGCATGTTTAGAAGCTTCTCAGGTGAACTGATGTGGGTGGTCTGTGGACCACGCTCTGAGATGACAGGTTTAAAGTCTGCATCTGGCACCAGTGGTTTGGTACCTAATCTCAGCATTTATTGCAACATTGAGAAGTGAGGTCTTTGTCAAGAGATGGAGTATCTTCCCCTGACTCTTGATTCTGAGTATGCTGTGCAACCAGCTTTGTCCAATGGGATGTTGCAGACATGACTCAGAACAACTTATGTGATCAGACTTTCTCATGTTCCTGCTGTCACCAGGAGAAGTGTATGCTTAGGCTAGCTTGCTGGTCCCAGGAGGAGGGTAAGAGACACATGGAACATGGCTGCACCAGCCAAGATGTCCTAGGCAAGCCTGGCCTGGAGCAGAGTCCTTAGCCAACACATGAGTGGACCAGCTGAGATTAGCTGAGCTCGGCCTAGCTCAAGCCCCAGCTGACCACCATGAAAGACTGTTTAAAGTTACTGAATTTTGGGTGGTATGTTACACAGCAATAGCTAGCTGATACATCCAGGCAGTTTGTTAATATGCAGATCCTGAAACTGTGATTCTGTAGGGTCTTAAAAATTTGTCTGTTTAACAAACTTCTGGTGTGATTCTGATGCCAGCACTCTGTGGACCCCCCCTGAGAAAAACTTTTGAGACTCAACCCTTTTACAGGTGTAATATGAAATCATGAAATATCCCTGAATATCTATGAACCTCAACTATTCTCATCTGCAAAGAGGGGATAATTCATATTTCCTGCATCAAAGATGTGAGGATTAAATGAACATGAAGAAATCTAGTCAGTAACAGGCTTTTCTTTTCCTCCTTCTTCAACTTGTCTCCACCTCACCCTACCCAACCTCAGGAAGACACCAGTGAGAATATCTTAGGAAAACATGAATCTCAGGGTCACAGCTTTATTGTATAGATTTTTAACACAGCCATATTACAAACATTGTCAGGGAACATTTACAAGAATAAATAAGATGGACTTGCAGGTGTAAAAAGATTACACTTCACTGTAATGTACAGTCAAAAAATATATCTGATATTCATTGACCTGACATTATTTACCTTCTGCTTTTTGAAGCTAGAATTGGAAAGGAAAAAAAAAAAAAAAAAGAACATTGACAGCACAGTGCTGGCTTTTTTAAAAAGTTGATTTATTTTGTTTTCTCTTCTCATACGTGCCTTATGTATCAAACACCCAAACTGTACAAGTGCAGGCCATTGGGACTCGTGGAGGAGGCTGCTAACAGTGTGGAGACTTTGGTCTCGTGCAGTATCATATGCCCAGTGGACGTGAAAATGTCAGTCTCCCTGGAGTTGATGGGAACCCCGTGATGGCCCTTATGCGGCTATGATGGTGTCCAGTGGCCAAGGCAATGGTAGAAACCCCAACTCTTTGCCTTTCATTGGCTGGTAAGATGTAGGGTGGAAAGAGAAGGTAGGAAAGTGCTTTTGAGTCTGATTGCCAATATGGGTGAGCCTGGATTAGCCTGGGCGAGTTCAGGATCTACCTGGCAATGAAACGGATGTACCGGGGATGACTATGATCACATGTCAACCGAGTCACTGTGCTTGTGCTTTTGCAATTTGCTCTAACAGGCCTCGACTGCGGAGGGGAGGGGTAGAATTCGCCTCTGGAGTTAATGTGTATGGGAAGCAAAACCCCACTCTGGGTCCTACTTGGACCTTTACTGATTCCGGCGGTCACTGATGGCCCTGTTGGCCAGCGGATCGAAATTATGACTGGTCTCATCACAGATCTTGGTGGGCCTGGGTTCTGTGGCAAAGCAGCTGCTCTCTCTGGGCTGTTTGGTGATAACCAGCCTGCATGAGCCTTTGATGCGTGGCTAGAGCAGCATCTTAGCCTGCGTGGTGCTGGGGCAGCAGGAGAGTAGGGGCTTCAACCAGCACACACCAAGCCCAACCTGCTCGGCTCTGTGCTCTGCAGGAAGGAAGGCGTTCAGACAAGGTCCCGGCTCCGTAATACATTCATCTAGGGTGGAAGAAACTTAAAGGCCCTCTCAGCAAAGCTCGTTCTTCCCTTTAAAGAGATGCCTGGCTCTTGCTGAACAGCTGCTGAGACAGAACTCATCTCTGGCAGATAGCAAGTTCTCTCTTACAGCTATGACGTTTCACCCATTGGTCCTCGTTCCGCTCATAGGAGTGATCCGGGACTAGCAAACTGTACTTTAATTTATCTAACGATCTGCAGGCCTATGGAGGATATGGGCACTGGTATTCTGCGTAACTCTTCAGAAGTCTGATCTGACCTGGGATGTCACCCCTTGGCCCTCTGAGCCTCCAGACTGCCCTGGAGGCTTTGGTCCAAAGAACAGCCTACATCATTAATCTTCCATGGGAGAGACAGGTGCACGGTGGGCACTGAGAGTTTGTTGGACCATCACGAAGGGGGTCCACTGCTTTGTATTCATAAGCCCAAAGGCACAGAAGTATGTGTACAGGAACTCAACTTTGCGGTTTTGGCAGGTTGCTTCGTAATCCCTTTCCTCTCCCAAATCTAAGCATCCCACTCACCAAGGAACCATAAAGTATAATAATTACCCTGAGCTCCAGGCTTTCGTACCAATACCTTCCTGACCAACACTCTAAGGACCACAGACCCTCATTCTCTGAACATTTCAACCAGGGATCAGGGTCCAAATCCCACTGCTCAGAGCGGCTCTCAGACACCTACGGAAGCTCCATGGTAACCCTGCCTCAGCAGCTTTACTCTATAGTATGCCCATGCTGAGTCCTACATCTTTGTGTCAATGGCAGTGACTAGCCCAACCTCTTAGCATAACTAGGATGCTAAGCCTGGGGTCTACCGTTATGGGTGCTGACCCCGCCTCTTGGGACCTAACATTCTTGGGTGGACTTGAGGGGGTGAATGTGGCCTCTTTGATGACCCTTTTCCACCTCTTCTGGAGGCAGGCAGGAGGGATGCAAGAGATGGTCTTGGTACCTACAAGAGTGTTGTACAGCCAGCCAGTGTGACGCAAAAGTCTATGTCTGGCTACCAGTAAACCAGAAGAGAGTCTGTTCACGTGCATAAGTATGGCTTAGACATCTCTCTGTGCTTCTGAGGATCATACCCATGACTCTGGAAAACTGGAGCCTCCACCACTCTCTGCCACTGACTTCTCTCCTTGCTGTTCAGTGTATGACCTCAAAGGCGGATCCTGGTTAGATGGAAGCCAAGGCCTTGCATTTTATCACTGCTAGGCACGTCTCTGTTGAAAACCTCCAACACGGAACCCTTGCATGGGGATATAGGAACAAGGCTGAGTCTCAGCTGGTTCCCTCTATGCTGGGTTCACATTACTTATTTCCCTGTTTTATTTGGCTGTGATTTGAAGCTGGCATCATGGGCTGAGAAGGAGCTCAGACTAGTTAGATGACGGGGAAGGCAAGTCAGGGCTTGGAGATGCATGGCCACCATGTGACTCATGTCTCATCTTCTGCCCTGCAGCTTGGGTTGACCACCTGTCCCCCAGGATCCCGGCCCAGCACAATGTGTTGGCCTTATGGTTTAGAATTAGCATCGTGGTCATCTTACCGACAGGCTCACCCGTTTTTTCCATGGCATTACTCCTGACTCAACTTGGTGCTGATGGCCTCTCTGTCCAGCCCAGGAGAGGCCAGATGCAGGCTAAGTGAAGGGGGTTTTCTTCATCCCCTGTGAGGTACAGGGGAGCTGCCCTCTCCTTCAGTGTCCCTGGATCTGGGCTGGGCAGTTACTCCTGCAAAGATGACATGATGAGCATCTGTTTGCTCCTCCCTGGGCCTCACTTCTGTCTGCAGCATCCTTGCTAGACTGAACACCTCTGTGCACACAACAGGGATTCACACCACAACTGTGTGGACCGCAGTGAGGACACACACCAGGAATTCACACCAGAACTGAGGAAACGTGGAGCATGGTGAGGCTACACACCAGGAGCTAGCTTCCAACGGGGAACCGATGATGGATAAACATGATTGGTCAGAGGGAAAGATTATCATCTTTTCTCCAAGATACTGAGACGCATTCTAAAGCAGCACCTTTGTTCCAGGTGGTTCTGGCCAGTCCCTCTCCATCCCCCATCCTACTGTGTCACAGAAGTGACCACTTTGCCCAGCAGACTGTATGCAACCTTGGTTCTGAGGAGTCCTATCGGGTCCTAACTTGGCTTTGCCTTCCTGTTTTCCTACCCAAAGCTCTCCAGATCTACTTACCCCTTCTACCTGGCCGAGGCTCCTCTTTCTACATCTTTTCCCACTAATTGGTTGGTTGGCCCAACATTCTACAGCCAAGAAATGGCTGGGCTGAATTAGAACCAAAGACTGAGTCCTTCCTATCACAACCCCATGTCTCAGCAAGGGATGGGCTGTGCCATAGTAAACTGAGCTTCCTGATGGCAGCCCCCCCAGGGCCCTGCGTGTTGTAAGAACCCAGTGAGTATGTGGGGTTGCAGTAAAGTGACGAGGCTTCCAGCCCCCAGCCCCTCACGTGAAGTGTCCTCAGATTGGCCCACATTAGCAACCGTATGACTCTACCTAGACTAAGGGCACCACCTTGTAGAGGCCCCAGCATTCAGCAATCTGCTGAGTAAGGCTGTGTTCATCACCTCCTTTCCCTTTAGGGTTTTATGCGCTCAGCCGTCGCCACTCCAGATGGGCATGTCCTTGTAATTCTAGTAGATTTCAATGGCTTTTTTCCAGTATCCAACTTAAGAAGACTTGAGTTGAGATCAACCCATGAACAGTGAGGTCAGGGTACCCCCATACCATAGGATCTGCTAAGGGGAAGGTGGGCTGCACTTGAGTCTAGAATTGGCCGCAGGAGGAAGCAGCATGGCCAGGCATTGTGCCTCCTAGACTGGGCTGTAATTCCCTAGGGTCCATCGTAGTGAGTTGAAGGGATCAAAGCCACATGAGGGACCAGAGCACATGTGGTTAAAAAAATATTTATGCACTTCTATGAAAACAAATCAGGCTAAATTAGAGAAGAATGCAAATATTATGTGAATTGCTAGACATGAAACTGAAGGAATTTTAAGCTGACCATTGTCTGCTTTGGGCTTTACAAGATCCATTGGGCCTGTTTCACTCTAGTCTTTGCTGCTATGGGTAGCCCCCCCACCATGGGAAAATCTGAGACATGGGAAAATATTGTCTTTGAAGTCAAAAGAACCAGTTTAAATCCTGGCTCCCTCCTTTACTAGCTGTGGTGGAACTGTGGGCCAACGACTTCACTCCTCTGAACCTCAGTCTCCTCATGTATAAAATGGTGACAATTAGAAGCACTTCTTAGGAACGCTGGAAGAATTCGGTGAGCTCACGTTTACAGTCTCCAGCACAGGGTCTGCTGCTTGCACGGGAAGGCTGACATCTGGCAGGCAGGCCACTGCCCGGGCTACATCCAGAGACAGTGTAAAAGCAATCTGACCCCTTCTGCTCCCACAACGGGAGGCGTGCTGTAGCCATCTAGAGGCTCAGAGCCCCCCGGCCCCAGGACCTTCGTACCAGAAAGGAGGAGAGGACGACGTGTTAGGATGCAGCTAGGATACATCCCGAAGATGTCTAGGCCAGACGTGCAGTCAGGTGGGGACAGTACCTGGCTTCTCGTTAATTCCTTGCCTCTCCTCCAAACAGGGTCCACGTCTAGGAGGTGAGAGCCATGAGGCTTTGTGCTAAGTGAGGGGACTCTCTTGGGCAGCCCAGAGACAGGAGGCTGGCCCCCGTCATGGAGACCCAGAGACCATGAGTTCCACTTCCCTCTGCGTCGTGAACGGTGAGCCTGCCCCGTAAGTGTAGAGTACCCCGGGGGAGGTGCTGTTTGCCCATGAGCTTTCCTGGGATCAAGTCCAAATTCCCGGGCACAGGCGCCCCGTCTCATCCACGTCCTGCCGCATTCTTGCCACGTGGGATCTTGGGGGAAGCATCCCCATCCGCGAGCCTCAGTGTCTTCCAGTGTAAACTGGCCGGAGACTGTTCACTGCCCTGCATCCTCCGGAGGGCGGTTGGGTTGTGAGGAAGTGACGGGGGCCAGGGGTGCTGAGCTGGGGGAACCATCACTGGCCCTTGTTGGGTTACCCAGCACGGCCCGAGTTTTCATTCTAAATTCCTTCTCCCCAAAGTCACACTCTAAATTCCTACCATCTGAAATGATAGACGCCACTGTCATTTTCATCTGCCAGCTATTCTGCCCCCTCCTGAGCAGAGTAAATCCTAGGGTTTCTTTGTGTTTGTTAGAGAGCACAACCCTCTCCCAGCCCCCATTCTGTACGGATGAGCCCAGATCTGAGAGAGGAGCATATAGCTGGCTGATCTGCTATGTCACAGGCTCCTTGAAGGCCGAGACTAGAGCCAGGGGAGGCCAGCAGGGGGCCAGGGCCTGGGGACCAGGAAAAGGGACCATGAAAGGGGAAGAGCAAGTTCATGGTGGGGCTCCTCCGCCTTCTTTTGCTTTGAGATGCTTCCTTTTGAACCTCCGAAGTGACAGCCCTTCCTTGATCGAGTCTGGTGTCCCTGGACTTCCAGACAGTTCCAGAGCCCATGCTGACGGCAACAGCTTCTGTGGGCTCCTTCCATGTCCCGTCCTCATGGGCCCAGGGGTCTGGCTTGGTCACCCTGCTTCGTGGCAGAGCAGAGACCCTGAGTTTCTCACAGAAGCTGCGTCTCCTGATCCAGCAACAAAATAATGAGCAGACAGACAAATAGATGTGATATTAAAAAGTATACGCTTAAGGGACCATTTTCACAGTGTCTGATGAAAGGAAAGAGGCAGCCCCACTGGCCCCAGAGGGAGCCTCCTCTAGCACTGAGCTGAGCGCATCACTCAAAGCTCCACTGCGTCCTGCTTGCCCGCAGGGGCCAAGTCTGCCCTGCTGGTGGAGCATTTGCCCCCTGACCCTGGCTGTCCTCCTGCCATGTTCTGCTCTAGTTGAGCTGATCTGCCATCTCACCGCACCCCCCCCCCGCCCCCCCCCCCCCAAGGATCCTGCACACCTCTTTGTCTTTGCATATGCTGATACCTTGGCCTGAGTTTCCTTTTCTTCCTTTTTCTACCCAGTGGAATGGATGTCACCTCCTCTAGAAAGCTCTACGCTGAATCTCTCTTGCTGTGAGGCTCGTGTAACACTTTGCGCTGTGGTTCAGTTTTCCCAGGATACAGTAAGTTCTTTAGGGAGAACACTGTGCCTTATTGAATTCTATGCTTCTCATGGCCGCTCTGGAGCTAGACCAGCCTTCAAGATGAAGCTTCCTGGATCCCAGGCCACCCGGGGAGCTGCCAGGTACTGTACCAAAGCACCAGCTAGAGACCAAGGTAGAGTGTCCCTGGCTGGCAGACCTCACCGCCTGAGGGCACAGGGAATTGTTTTCACTGGCTAAGAGAGGAGATGGGACTAGCTTTCCTGGGGAGCTGGGAATGAGCTGCTGAAATATATCTGAAATTCTGAGCTTCCCAGAAAAATTGGCATAGGAAAGAATTAAATTCCCATTTGTGGAGTTCGCTGCTCAGAAATTTCTGGCCTTATTTTCCGTCCATATAATAATTGCTTGGCTGAGAAAAGGATGAAGAAAATGTTACAAAGAAGTCTCATCACTATTACCTGCCTTTTGGAAACCAGAACATCATGACTGAGGAAGACGCCTCAGTGTCTTCGGTTGTAAAATAAGGATAACAGGTGAATAGCTCTCTCAGGGAGGGCGGGGGTGGGTTCCAAGAAGTTGCCAAGCCTGGCATATGAGAGATACTTAGCCAGTGCTGGCGCCCCTGTCAGTCACTGACTGACCCATACTTTGGGCAAGAGTCTAGGTTCCCCAGGTCCGATCCCCTTGTCCTATTTTAAACCAAAGTATAGCTGGGTCCATGATGACTCTTTTCTAAGATGGCAGCTGAGTTTCTCTAGGAAGGTGTTCAAATTTGGAGATCCGAGGTTATGCCGGTACTCTGTCTGCCCCAAAGGCCAAAAGGGACTGTCTTCAGACTAGCCCTTCAGACTATCTCTCCCTTGCTCAGTGGCTGTGCTGTCCCTGGCTGGGACCTTTTGAGGACATTTCCAGGAGAGATAACAGGCCCCAGAGATTTGTCTTATAGCTACACAACCAAACGTCCCTCCCACCTTTTTTTGATATGAGACTAAGGAAGATTTTACACCCTCCAAAAGAAAGTTTCTTTACACGTACACTTTGGAAAATCATCAAATCTTAACTTGTTCACCCCTCCCAAAGGAGCCACCGCCCAAGACACACAGGGTCAGCCAGAGCCGTGCCCCAGGGAGGCAGTCCTTCTTCACAGACACAAGGAGCAGCAGCAAAGTCCCCTGCAGTTCTGCCCCACCGCACTGACCACAGAAACGCAAAGCAGACCTTTGTCCAGGACTGCCGCGGACACGGCGGACTGGCCAGTGAACGACAGAAGGTCAAGGCCTGGGCTGGGGGACGAGTACACAATGGTGGTGGGCCAAGCCCCATGCAGGTTAGTTGGGAGGATGGGGGCCTCTGCTGTGGTCTCGGGAGCATCCTGAAGTCCCAGTGATCCAGAGGTCCCTGAAGGAGACGGCAGCAGAGCCCGGTCATATTCACGACCCCGTGGAGGAGGAAAGCACACATCCCCCCACCGCCCAGAGGACGGAGGGCAGAGGACGTGCTGCCAGGCCTGTCACTCCCCTATACCCACACAGTCAGCTTGCCTCGAGATTCACAAACCTGAAAAGAGCAAAAGGAAGAGGTCTGGGCACTGAAAAATCCGGGCCTTGCTATACAGGTGCACTTCTGTATGGGCCCGTGCCTGAGGTTGGAAAAGAAGCCTGGGCCTTTCAGGGCGGCGTCCTCCACAGCAACTGGAGACTCCTCCGAAGGTACAGAGCCCACCGTGGACCACAGGCCCACCAGTCTTCTCCTGGAGTTGGGCAGGGCGCCACCGCTTAGCCCCTGAGCCCAGTTGCTGCCGTTCACAGAAAAGGGGGTTGGCTGCAGCAGCCTCTGGACTCCGGCAGGTTCTCCACGCCATTGGGCTAAAAGGAGCTTAAATATTCCAGTGCCACCTCGTATACAAATTTATACTGTTCCTGAGAGGAGGAGAGGCAGAGAGGGAGAAGAGAAGATGAAAAGGAAAGGGAAAATGCATTTAGTTTAGAGATACAGATTATGGAGGAAACATTATCTATGTCTATACTAACAGTCAATTCAAAATTGTCCACGCAGATTCAGATTCAATAGATCTGGAGTGGAGCTCAAGAGTCTGCATTTCGGGCTTCCCTGGTAGTGCAGTGGTTGAGAGTCTGCCTGCCGATGCAGGGGACGCGGGTTCATGCCCCAGTCCAGGAAGATCCCATATGCTGCAGAGCGGTTGGGCCCATGAGCCATGGCCGCTGAGCCTGCACGTCCGGAGCCTGTGCTCCGCAACGGGAGAGGCCACAGCAGTGAGAGGCCCGCGTACCGCCAAAAAAAAAAAAAAGTCTGCGTTTCTACCAGGCTCCCGTGTGACACTACTGCTGCTGCTGGTCTGTGGACCAGACTTGGAGTAGGCCCTCACTTTGGGTAAGACCACACTTAGCACAGACTTGAAGACTCATTAAAGTTCCCTGTGTATGGTATGTCTCCATCTCTGCACCAGGTCTTTCTTAACATCTGGAGCTCTGCCCCCAGTCTCTTCCTATCCCTTGCTTCACAGTGTCCTAGCCTAATGCTTTATATGATAAAAATGAGCATAAATTAATTAGAATGGGACTGGACTGAGTCAAAAACCTAATTCACATGCTACTAATCCAGAATCCCTACCCCTAAGCCAGAATCAGTGATACTTTCCCACAGAGTGGAAAGAGTAAAACAATGCAGCGTGTGCCAAGACGAATATCTGGACTCTCTGCAGAAGAGAAGCTGGTGAGGCTGGAGGGAGGAAGCAGGTAACTGGGGGCAAAGGGCAGTGACTGCAGGTGCTCAGGAAGCATCCGGCTGTTGAATGTTTTTACTCTGATGCTATTTTCTTCAGGTCAAGGGAACTACGGTCAGCCCCTGGCTACTGGAGAACAGTTCTCGGGACACTCACCAGGGTCTCCACCATGTTGGACTTGTTGTTACGTAATGTTTTCACGATGTGGAACACATCGATGATGTTTTGCTGCTGGATCATCTCACACACGCTGCAGACAGCACAGAAGGTTCCGCTGCGGCCTCCCCCATTTCTAAACACACAGCAAAAAGGTGAGCGAGACTCCTGGGTACCCCTCAGGCACCTGCTGAGCCTAAGGCCGTGTTGGCAGTAGTGGAGGGTGACTGCCCTGGCAAATGCAAGGTGAGGCAGTGGTAAAAGTCTTAGCCTGAGCCATGAGTTATGGTTGGAGTCCCATCTGTGCCGTGAACCTGCTTTGACCTTGGGCAAGTCACTTCCTGTGTCTGAGCCTCAGGTTCTCCATTTGATAACCTTTGAAAGCTCACTTAGCTTGATGTTTCCTTGGTTCTAGCAGCATGTGACTGCCACCCACGGCACACTGACCCAAACCCCCAGGACAGACAGAGTGTCTTTGTCCGTGTGGTGCCTGTATCCTTGTCCAAAAGGATGCTCTGCGTCCACCTACACATCCAGTGAAGACAGCGGAAGGTTGCGTGTGTTTTTATTCCTAGTTCCTTCCATCCGCTGAGGACAGCAGTACCAGAGACACCTCTGTTAGCTGGGGTCAGCCAGCCTAGGTTTTGGGTGGGGCTGGGATGGGTCTCAGATGCTGAATCCCGAAAAGACGCATCTCTATTTATACACCCTGGTTTAAGCAAGACCCTACTGACCTGGAAAATAGGGAAAGGGGGCTCTTGGCAGGGTCATTCCTCTGTCACACTTTCTTTCTGATGCTCCATAAGTCATCTTCATAGAAACACCCCTCCAACTCTTTACAGAAAACCTCTTTAGGAATGTGCCAGATTTGGAACTCCTGGGCGTACTGCTAAGAGCAACTAATGATGTCATGTAATGGTCTGTGTCTAGAGAACATCTGGATGGAAACTAAGTCACTGAGTCTACCTCTCAGATGTTTTATCCACAGGACACCCAACGACCAGATGGTTCAAGTACAGACAGTTGCCCTCCATTCACTGGCCAGTGCCTGCATTTCAGTGTCTGTTTTGGTGTCTCTGCCCTCCAAGGATGCCAAAGTCTCTTGACAGAAGGACACCCCTGTGCTTTCCTACAGCTCAAACTGCTGGTCACCTCGGCAGGGGAAGACACGAATAAAAGGTACTCCTGCAAAAAGCAGGCTAAAAAGCAATCGCATGGGAAAGAGGAGGAAGGGCCCCCTGTCCACCCCTCCCTTAAGCTCTCTGATTTTCCTGACATCTGTGCACCACATGAAAGAGGGGGCACGATAAGCCGGTTTTGAAATGACTGAACTCAATTCCAGGGTAAGATGTTATTAATTCCTCCACCTGCTCCAGAAATATTATTCTGAAAAAGGGAAGACTTTGATTCAACTTCCTTTTGAAAGAGTGAGGCCCTGTCCATCACTTCTCCCCAAATCATTGTCTAAGAAGCAAAGTGAATGATCGTGAGTCAGCTGTTCCACACATAGCTTTATGGCTGCAATCCCAGTCCATTAAAAGGACTGTAATGCCTCGACTACACTCCTATTGGCCTGTAAGGATGTATGGCCAGGCATGCCTAGGGCTGGTATTTGTGGCCAGCGGCATCCTCAAGGATGTCCCATTACCCACCACCCAGTTGCCCGGGAGACCCCTCCATCATACTCACAGGCAGTGGACCACAGTGCGTCCCTCCCTCCCATCGTACTGCTCCTGCCACTTCTCCAGCCGTCGGACCACTTTGAGCAGAGAGCGCTTGGAGGGGGGTGTGTCCCGGTAGGCAGGCCAGCCAATGTACTGGAGGTGCTGGACTATACGATATCCATCCTGTGGCTGAGAAGAGAGAGGCTATTAGGGCTGTTCTGCTGGGGATGCTTTAGGGATGCAGGCCCTCCAGATACCCTGGAGGCTGCAGCATTGCAGTGGAAGATGGAATAAATGGGGTCTACGCTATAATGTCCTCATGGGGAGAGTCACACACTATCCCCATACCCACCTCTACACCTCTGTGCACATTGATTCTCCTGCCATGACTGCTCTGCATCCCTCCGCTACCTGAAAAACTTCTACTCAGTCCTCAAAACCCAATTCAAATGCCCCTTTCTCTAGGAAAGCCTTCCCTGAATACTGGGCAGGATTCTTCTCCCGTTCATGAGCCAAAACACGTCTCGCTTTCCCATTAGATGGAGAATTCTGAGGGCAGGGACTGAATCCTGTTCACCACGAGCCCCCAGTAAAGACCAAGGTCACTTCAGTTAGCCACCATTTCATAGATCACTCATCTGTTCCCTCCCACCCAATACTACTCCACCCAGCAGTGAAATTCCTCATGGAAGCAACTTACTATTTTCCATCTTAGTGTTCCCACCATCTAGCCCAAAGCTTACTGGATCCAATCAAAGGCTGCATCAACTCATGCCGAAACAGCGTGACACAGGGAAGCGCTACATTCTGAGATTTTGTGTCTACATGGCAGCAAGTGTGTCAGGAAACAGGCAGATGGCAGGCTGGATGTCCCCCTATGTGTCTCTGTGTGTGGGAGCCATTGCTGGGTCTGGAGCCGGAATTGGCAAAGGCATCACTTCCCCAAGGACGAGATGAACAGGAGAGGACAGCACAGACTCCTGGCTGGCCTGCAGGGTCCTCTCCCGGCAGCTTCCATCTGTTTTGGGAAGGAGGAGTCTGGGAAGCAGCGGCAGCCATACACTTACCCGAGCCATGTTACAGATGCGGAATATTCTGTGGATGATGTCCTCATCGATGTCTGCGGAGACGAATTCCACCTGGATGGGCCCGTAGCACCCCGAGGTCTTCTCAGGCCAGTACTGCATACAGAGCTGAGGTAAGGAAAGGGGTCACAGAAAAAGGCTAAGGTCAGGGGCCGGGGGCATTGGTTTCATTTATCATGAAGCCTTTCTTGCTGCCTGCAGGACACATTGGCTAGAAAGGTAGAGTTTTATGTAGGAAATTAGGCTCAGCTTTCCTGTTGGGGAACAGCTACCCATTTTCCTGGTTGTTGAAAAGTCAGAGCTCTGAGCACAGAAACACTGGGCTTAAACATCTTTGCTGTGCTGATTTCAAACCATTCGTTAGGCTTGCTGGGCCTCAGTTTTCCCCATCTGTAAAATGGGCGAAATACTGTCTACCTTGTGCTGCTGTAAGGGTTAGATAGAACACTCTGAGGAAGGGCAACTACAATCTTTAGTTCAACACAAATCATAGCAACTTTCCCCCATTCTAGGAAAACCTTCACAGTGTTTATTTCATCATCAGATCATGAGTAGTTTTAAAAAATACATAGGTTTTGGCATCAGACAGGCTTGGGTTCAAATCCAGTCTCTGCTGCTTACTAGCTGTGCCATCCAGGCCTCAGTTTCTCCTGTGTAAAATGGGGCTAATTATGCTTACCTTGCACCAAAAGATAATGTAACATGGTATTGAGAGATCTTGCCTATTACCTTTTCTATATTTTTGGAATTAGAAATTCGAACCTACAGCTGAGAGCAAAAGGCAGTGGTTGCTTTTCAACCTAAGACAGTGCTTCTCAGCAGAGGTTGCTTTGTCACCCAGGGGACATGTGGCAATTCTAGAGACATTTTTGACAATCACAGGTGGGGGCTGCTATGGGCATCTAGTGAGTAGAGGCCAGGCTGCTGCTAAATATCCTACAATGCATGTGACGCCCCCCCGAGAGGAATCTGGCCCCAGTGCTCAATGGTGCAGAGACTAAGAAAGCCTGGTCTAGGATCATAAATTGTCCCTTAAGTTTATAGTGTCATCAAGAGTGAGAGACAGACACTTTATGCCCCGGATCTGTTGAGTCACTAGATGACTATAGTTGGGGAAAGAAATATTAAGGTAGGTGGCACAGGTCGTGGCTCAGAGCAAGGCAAAGCATGCTTCCTCAACTCCTGGTTCCCAAGGGGCGTGGAGATGGACACTGTCCAGGGGCAAGGAGGAGAGCTAAGGTTGAGGCTGCAGGCTCGCTGGGACCACCCCAGCATGGATCAAGAGGCCACGTGTTAGAAAGCCTTTTCACCTGGGGGTTTCCCGGAAGATGTAGCTGAGACTCAAAGACCCACCAAAGCTTCTGAGATCCAGGCATCTCAGTGGGGTCTGCCACAGCCTATGCTGAGCTTGTAGACAAGGAACTAGATGGACAGAGGCTACCCACGGCAATCCGGTGGCCTCCTCATGACCACCACGGATGCAGGATTTTCATGAAGGTGATCGCTTTCCCTTTCATTGAGAGAACAGCCAACTCACCCTGGGTAGTCACATGCAAAAACTTTTTTGGTTCTATCCTTCCTCCAGAACTAGAGGCAGAATGGACGAGCAGGGAGACCGTAGGAGAGAAAAGCACACATCTCCCACCTTCCTAGCTGTGGAACCTAAACTCCAGCTTAGGGATAACATTTGTTCACATTATGGCCCACTGGCCAAACCTGGCCAGCCGTCTGATTCTATAAATAAAGCTTTATTGAAATCTAGCTATATTAGCCATTTACATACTTTCTGTGATTGCCTTCAAGCTATAACGGCAGGTTTGAGTAGTTGTGACAGAGACCACACAGCGTGCAAAACCTGAAGTATTTCCTATCTGGTTCTTTCTGCAGAGAAGGTTGGCCAACTCTTGTCCTATAGGGCTGTTCTAAGGATAAAGAGAGAACACATGGGAAGAAAGCCCTTAGCAGAGTGCCAGCATCCACTATATTGCAGCGACTCATATCACTCTTGAACCCTCTAGGTGCTGCACAAAAAAAACAACAATGATCATAGCTAACATATAAATTTGAAGAATTCTTCCTCTTATCACCCGTCTTAAATAGCAAAGGTAAGCAAGATTAAGTTTCATGATGCAATGGTGCCTTGCTTTCCTGGTGTGTGTGTGCTTTCGTGTGTGTGTGCTTTCGTGTGTGTGTGCTTTCGTGTGTGTGTGTGTGTGTGTGTGTGTGTGGTGCTGGTCACAGCGGTCTCTGTGGCTGGACAGTCATCTGCTGAGCTGTGCAGTAATGACAAATCCACAACTTGAACTTCATTTCTCTTTGCCAGTGGCTCTTCTGACCTGCAACCTTCACAGTAATGAGGGACCAGTATAATAGGTCTGTGGCTGGCTAGAGAAATCAGCATTAATCAGAACTGCCAATTTAAAAAACATAATTGCCTTCATTACCTGCATTGAATCATGCCTTGCCAGAGGCTGGCTCTGATCCTGACATGAGGTACATGGGTCCAAGGCATCCAGGAAAGTCTATTATCCCCAATATTTTCAGTCTGGAGAGAATGTGGAACGATTTGTCTCTTTTAGTAAGATTTCCAGACCAACTTCTCAAGCTAATAGGTTCTACTCTGCCTCAAACAAGACTCCTTTATTTTGGGACACTTCTCTGCGTTTGATTTTCCAGGTCACTCTCCACCATGTCCAGAGGGCTGGGAAAGGTTGCAGGGTCCTTCTAATCCCACATCAGAGCCGGCCTTTCACTTGAGTTCCCTAATCCGTGAGACGACATCAGCAATGGTCTGGGTGACATTCAGCCGGGTAACGTGTGGGCAGATGTGGTATTTCAGCTGCCACGGATCATCAGGGTCTGCCCCCAGGCCGGGACGCTGCACATCATCTAGCCATGGGAAATGGGAGAGAGAATGGGGGAAGCCCATGCTCTGTTCCTGGTGACCCTCTGGGGCTCGGAAATGATTCTCATCAATAAGAAATGTCCTCTAAGGTTTAGCTCAAGACTGTCCTGGTGTCCAAGTGCTGGGGTTGTGCCTCAGTGGGTACCACCACTTTGGCCCATGTATGCAGCTTAGCAAAAGGTAATGGGGCTCCTGCTTGAGGCGCCCTGGGCTCAAATCCCAGCCCTGTCACTCCCTAGCTGAGTGACTTGGTCACATCTCTTAGCTTCTCTGGGTTAAGTGATGAGTGGCTGTGAATCTGAATGTGTCTACTTAGCACAGGCGTCTGTAGCTAGTAAGTACTCCATAAATGTAAGCTATAATTATTTGGCAGTGTGGGAGAGGGTCACTCAAAACAAGGTGGATAAAGTGAAGGGTCTTTTTCCCTCTACTTAGCAGCCCGTATGAAAATTTCCCTTTAGGATAATAATACCCAAAGGACTGCCCTTGTGAAAATTCCTGGTCAGCCAGCCTGACAGAGCAGTGGGGACAGGTGCCACCTGTGATATGGGGACACTGTTCTGCATGGCAGAGGAGAGAGGCCTGTGGGTTGTTCTTGAGAGGGACCTAGGAGATGGAAAAGGGAAAGTAGGAGCATAAGGGAACCAGTGAAAGGGCTGAGGGTGAATCAGTGTGTCATGTGAGCCCCCCTCTCCTAAACTCCTAAATATTAAGCAAATTTATAATAACAAACACAGACAATGCTCAGTGTGCATGGGGGTTTCTTGTGGAAGCTGGTGAGGAACTGAGCTTTGCTCCCTTGGTGACTTACGTGGTCTCAGCTCCACTTCTATGTGAACTGAAGGGCCAGACCATGAGCACATAAGCATCGACAGTTTATAGGAGAGCCGCCAAGATGGTGGAGTAGAAAGACCCAGAGCTCACCTCCTCTCATGAGCACACCAAAATCACAACTATCTGCAGAACAACCATTGGTGAAAAAGACTGGAACCTACCACCGGAAGATCTTCTGCAATTAAAGACATAAGGAAGGAACCACAAAGAGACAGGTAGGAGGGGCAAACTCACAACATAGTCAAATCCCATACCCCTGGGTGGGCGACCCACAAACTAGAGAATAATTACATTACAGAGGTTCTCTCACAGGAGTGAGAGTTCTGAGCCCCACGTTGGGCTCCCCAGCCTGGGGGTCTGGTACTGGGAAAATGATCCCCCAGAGCATTTGGCTTTGAAGGCCAGTGGGACTTGATTTTGGGAGTCCCACAGGACTGGAGGAAATAGAGACTTCACTCTTAAAGGGTACACACAAAATCTCACACTCGCTGGGACCCAGGGCAAAAGCAATTTGATAGCCTGGGCCAGACCTACCTGCTGGTCTTGGAGAGCCTCCCGGAGAGATGGGGATGGCTGTGGCTCACCCTGGGGCCATAGACACTGGTGGCAGCCATATTTGGGAACATTCTACCGTGTGAGCACTGCTGGTGGTGGCTGCCATCCTGGCTCATCAACCCCACCCAAAAGCCTATAGGCGCAAGTGCTGGGATGCCTCAGGCTAAGTAACTAACTGGGCAAGGACACAGCCCCACCCATCAGCAGACAGGCTGCCTAAAGACTTCCTGAACCCACAGTCACCTCTAGAAAAGCCCCTAGACATGGCCTGCCCACCAGAGGGCCAAGACCCAATTCCACCTCCCAGTGGGGAGGCATAGGCCCTTCCCTTCAGGAAGCCCTGAAGACCCAGCCCGCTCACAGTAGGCAAGAGCCTACCCTGGGACCAGCTGGGCCCTGGCCCTGTACATTAGCAGGCCAACGCAAGCTTTGAGATACCCTAGATCCCATACCCAACTGTGTCAGGAATTGCCCCCCTCCAACCTGAAATGAGCTCAGGGATCCCTGGGCCCTGCAGCCAGACTCCAGGAACTGGCTCTGCTTGCCTGGCACTAACCCCTGAACCTGGCTTTACCTGCCAGTGGATCAGCAACAGCCCAAGAGTCTGCGGGACCCTGACTCTGGCCACCAGTGAGCCAGCACTAGCCCCGGGACACCCCTAGGGTTCCGCAGCCAGTGCCTTGTGACCAGGCCACACTAACTAGCAGCCAGCAGCATCTGTACAAGGCAGAGCTTGGCAACCAACTGGGCCAGGGGCCAACCAAGCCTACCAGACTGCCCACATACGCCGCCACAACAGAAGGACCCATGCAGC